AATTGTGCATAAGCACTGAGATCTGTTCCCGTAGAACGATATCTGGACAGATTTAAAGACTGTTAAAATAATCTCATTACTTTTTTTCAGGGATTATTCTTAAGAAGGAAAATATTGCAGTTGGCAAAGATTGTCTACACCCGGGTCATCAATCAGGCAGAGACTGTAGTCAAGAAATCAAGAACCTGAAGGTGCAAAACTCCCCTGGATTTGATTCACCGCCTATATTATTGAAACGACACCTCGTGCTCACAGAGGAGCTGTGGATGGATTTGGGAGCTCGCCCCTCATACTGGATGCACTGTGATTCACTTTTCACCCCACGGCCACCCCATATTTCCTTCCTTCTCCTGGTCCTGCCTTTGCCGATCCTTTTATAAGGCATCCATGCCAAAAATAATAATACCAAGGACCCAGTGATAACGTGATAGGATGAGCTAGCAGTAATCTCATAAATGAAAGAATATATATTTTTAAAAAATGAACATTTTCAGAGGACGATCAGTGAAGAAAAAAGAATGGGGGGCTGTGTTCCCCCAGCCCCAACTGCCTACTTCACTGAAACACCACCTACACAAATCCCCAAACCCCTTGCATCTTTAGAAGAACATATCACAACTTAACCACCTCGGGGGGAAAAGGCAGTTTGAATTATTCTGGCTTGAAAAAGTAGAAGTCCCCCCGAGGCAGAGGGGAAAAAAAAGCCACTTTGGCAGTGAAAAGGGCCAGACTGATTTGAAGCAGACTTTGCATCATGCGGTCAGTTAAAAAAAATAAAAATCGGATTCACCCACTTTTTAAGCAGAGCAAATCGTGCAGCATTTGACCGTGTAGCCACAGCCAGAGAGTTAGAAGGGCAGCTATCAAGAAATAAGAAAATGGGTCTTAAAAAGCAGAGTGCCTCTTACGTGATATCTCCACATCCAATGGATGGTTGTGAAAGGTGGCCCATGAAGAAGACAGACGGCGGAGGGAGGGAGGGAGAGGCTCCTTTGAAATGTGCTGTTGGAGGAAAGGCTTATGGGATGCGTGCTGGACCACCAGAAAGACGAAGGACTAAACTAAAACAACTCAATGGAGAGTATCACACTTTGAACACGAGAATGCAAGGCTCACTGGAAAGGTGCGAACGGTAGAAGGCAAGTGGGGGGGGGGAAGAGAACACCTGAACATGAGATGGATGGACTCCAGACGGAAAGGCGTAACTTTGAAATTGCAAGACCTGAGAGGGGTAGTGACTGACAAGGTGTTTTGGAGGTCATTCAAGTTAAGAGCAGTTTGGTGCTGCATTACAACTGCAAAATGGTTTCAGTAAGGTCAAGGTTCCCCTTGAGATTGTAGTCCACTCGTGTCCAACTCTAGGGCGCGGTGCTCATCCCCATCTCCAAGCCGTAGAGCTGGCGTTTGTCCAAAGACCGTTTCCGTGGTCACGTGGCCAGCGCAACTAGACATGGAACACCGTGACCTTCCCACCGAGGTGGTACCTATTTATCTACTCGCATTTTTACATGCTTTCGAACGGCTCTATTGCCAGGAGCTGGGACAAGCGGTGGGAGCTCCCTCCGTCATGTGGATTCGATCTTACGACGGCTGGTCTTCCGACCTTGCAGCTCAGAGGCTTCTGCGGTTTAACCCGCAGCGCCACCACGTCCCTGGTTTCAGTAGATTGCACTAAACTTCTCATGGGCAGCATGAGCCTATTGCCGAGCTGGTTTTTAGAACCCCCAAAGACGGTCTCACTCACCAATATCTAGGTTTCTCACCTTTCCAAACGGCAAGATTTTCACCCACCAGATCTCCCCTTCGGAGGAGACCATGACTGCTTTCGACCATGCACCACACAATATTTAGTCACTCAAAATGTCTTGTGCTCTTTCAAAGCAGGAAATGTGGACCTGCAAAGTCTTTGTCCATTGTACGAATGCATGAGCAAATTGAGCGCCATTTGTACACAGTGTGTCAGGCGGGATTCTGCTAAAAGCAACGATGGGCTCCTACATTATGTCTGGGCACGTCAGCACTTCTGAACTGGGGGGGACCTGCTCCTCTGTAAGTGCAGACACCTTTCCAGGTGGAACATCCTGATAAGGATGAACCATGCACAACGCAGGTAAATTATGTATGATCCAAACCTGGAATTTCTTAGAGGCTGACAAATGAAATCAGCAGCTCCGTGAATAAGCGGGATGCTTCCACCTTGTTGGAAAGGATACGGTAACAAGGACTTGCAAACTATAGCTTTAAAGCACAGAAAACAGACACATGTGTGAAAGGATGAGAATAATGGAAACTGCAAAATTCTGAGATATTCTTAAGGAAAGCACAGATGACTTGCCACTGGGTTGAAGCTTCAGATGATGCTAGTTTTTCAGCATAATCATCATAATCAAACTAGATACAGTTTACGGCATGCAGAATTCTCAATGCAGATTAAAAAGCAGAACTCTCTCCCAGGCAACACCTCCCCACACAAGAGAGTTGCATTCATACAGTCCCAGAAGTCAATATAATTGCAGGTTAAAACATCTCTCCATCAGTAGCAGATTTCCAAAGCAGGTTCTGCTGTCAAGTGAGGACCCCCCCCCCGAAGGAGCTTTAAAGCTAATTTCAGAACGGATCGCTTTTCCTAAAGCCCTAACGGGAGGCAATGAAATGCTTGAGTGGGCTACCTTTCCATAGGCAAAGCACTGGAAAGATAGAATCCTGACCACCGAACATCACAGTCCTTGCAAGTCAGTGTGTTGTTCATTCCACAATCAAGCCTCAGTCCAGCGGGTCTTTCATTGTTCAACAGGACTATTTATTGTCAGAAACGGTATCACCAGAGCATGCAACCCTGTGGACAATGATGCCTCCTCTTCGGTTCCAATGCTCTGTAGCATTAAAGGTTTTTGCCCCACACCTTCCACCTCACAGGCCTGGGATAACCCACTTGGGGACACAAGGATGGGATGAAGCAATGGGGGAACTTTTGTGTCTCTCCCCGGCAGGCCGATAGAACAAGTTTTCAAGGAGAGGTTTGCACTGGGCTGCTCTTTGGGAAACACTGACCACCCCATAGATCACATGCGTGCTAGTTTTCGGACATTCATAATGTTCCCATGGTCCCTGCAAAAGCAGCATTGGGGAAGCAAGCTGGAGAGAAAGATGGGAGTGTGTCATCTACTGCCAGCATCTGACAGGGGTGTTTTTCCTCTCTGCCAGCTGGGCGCTGGGAGAACGGGCAGGCGACCCTTTTCTAAGAGCAAGATACCTAAGGTGTGCATGCGAGGGACAGGGGAACATAGGACCCCCTCCCCTGTTTCATCTTGAGTCCATCTCCTGATCCCTCATCACAATCACCTCTCACTCCAGAGTTTCAGCCGAGATTCCTCTTGAGTCTCCCTTGGAGATGCCCCGGGACACCCCACGTGTAAAGCAAGGGGTGAACCACTGGGCTGATCTTCGGCCCAGGAAGGGGCGAGAGGAGACATTTAAAAATTGTTCTCTTGTTCCCCTAGATCTTGCCAGCAGAGAAACCCAATGGCTGAGGGCTGATGCGCCCATCAAGGAGAAAGGCAGGTTAAAAATATTTTAAATCAGTGTCAAGAAACAAAATACAGGCCGGCAAGTCCAGCTCAATGCATGATGTACAGCAGTACCAACTGCCCTGTCTAGGCCAGGATGATCTGTTTGACTTTTTCTCTCTCTTTCTCTCTTGCGGCCGTAGGTTGTTTCTAAGTACAGCTATGATGGGCTGCCCAGGCTAGCAGGAGACCAAACCATGTGCTCGGCGGTAGACTTTTGGGGCAGACTTTCTCTTGCAAAGGGCTGCTACTCAGTAATGGCTCTCACTGGACTCTATGGGATGTGTGCCTGGGGCATGCAACTCAGCTGTCTGCTGCCTGATGCAGGAGTCCCCAAGTCTTGTTGCAGCTGAGAGGGGTTTAATCCCTCATTCGGGTGTTTACAAGTCCCTTCTGTTTGCAAAGTGACCCTAAAATCATCCACTTCCCCGGGTGGGTGGGTTGGTGCTGACTGGTAACAAAGCCATCCTCTTTTTCAGTGTTAGAGATGCTGTTGGCCACTAAGGACAAATGATGAGCATATTAAATGCAAGCCCCTTTTCATTGCCTGGAACCCAGATGCCCCCTTAATCCTTTTGCAATGCATTTTTAGAGGATAATGCAGAAATCTTGAGAATTAGGAGCTGTCACACTGTCTTATGCGTTGTCCGCTTCCAGAATGACTGCAGATCTCATCGAATGCGGGGAATTTTAAAGGTATAATCTCAGAACCCTCCACAGAAATGTACCTTTGATTAATTGGCTGTTTGAGGGTTGTTGGGGTTTGGGGTTTTTTTTGGGGGGGCGAAGTCTGAATTCCATGGGGAGCCTTGGAACTCACCAAAGTTCTTCCTCACCTCCATCTCACAGTTGCAGCTGTAGATGGCTTTGAGAACAGGAAAAACGACACATTTACAGGACCTTTCGGACCCGCTTCAGCCAAAGCTCCGCACATCTAGCCTTCGAAGTGTCACTGCACCCTTCATCAGCCGGCAAAGAAAAGATACTGAACTGCAAAACATTACACACCCAGGAAGAAAAGCCCTACCAGATAGTGGTCTAGCTCACAAAAGCTCAAGAACATTTAAAAAGAAGAAAAAGGGAGGAACTAAAAGAGACCAACAGGAGACGCTCAGGGAAAAGAACCGTCCTGATGTTCCATGGGAAGAGCGGACATGAATGGCACCAGGTATAGCTGGGCGCACTTGGAAATGGGAGTAGTAGACGCACATATATCCAAAATACTGTATGTGTATAAGGCAGATTTTGTGGGCCTTGTGGTGTTCCCAGTTCAAAGTCTTGACATAGCTGGGTTGTGACTCCAGAAGGAAGCCACCAAAGCCTCCTTGTCCCAGAGGATTGCACAAGCAGTAGGCAGAGAAAAGGAACACAAACACACACACACACACAACACCCCGCTGCCACCACCACCACAGCATCCCCTGTGCAACTTACCAGCGCAGAGGCGAAACCCAAGAGGGAGCAGCAGAAAAGGAGTCCCAAGCTGTAGTAGACCAGGTAGGATCCCATAACCAGGAAGAGGGTCTGGCTTGCCACGCATCCAGGGAACGAGGGCTCTCCAGGAATCCTCTGGATGCTCTGACAGCTGCTGATGGGGGTGCAGGGGAGCCGCGATCCCTAACGGCAGGAGGCGAGGGACCCCAAATCTTTGCCTCGCTTTCTCATGATGGGGAGGTTAGAGGCGTTCAGAACTGCCGCCCCAACGAGGAGGAAAGCGGGCGCTGGAGGAAGGTCCATGAAACGGGCATGGGGACCGACCCTCTCTTGCTTTCGCCGACGAAGCTTCAGATGCTGCTGGTCGTGGCTGTTCTCCGGGTGCGCCCACATCTGTCCCAGGGCTGACAAATCACATCCATATGTTCAAAGCCCCGATTCCGTCCCCCTTTCTCTCTCTCTCTCTCTTTCCCTCCCCTCTAAAAGAGGCAGTGGGAAGTTCAAATCATTTCTTTGTCAAACACAAACACACAACTGGCAGGGAGGGGAGGGGAGGGGGGCCGGAGAGGAGCCGAGGGGAGGGATCGGGGCGAAGAGAGAGAGAGAGAGAGAGAGAGAGAGAGAGAGAGGGTGGGGGCGAAGGCCAGGGGAGCGAGAGAGCGGGCGCCCAAGCCTTCCGAAAACCACCGCATTTATTTTTAGCTCCGCTCAGTCGGTCGCGCGTAGGTTTTCCCCGAGTCGGTCGGTGGGAGAAGAACTTCCTTTCCCCCAACAAAAGCCCGATTATTGTTACGTTGCAGAACGCCAGGAAAAACAACAACAACAACAACAACACGCGGACAAGTTGGGATTTCTTTCCTCCCTCCACCCCGCAAAAAAAAAAAGTTGGCAGTTTTTTTCTTTTCTTTTTGGCTTCCTCGGTTCTCGCTCCCGAACGAGTCCTTAAAAAAAACGCACACACACACACGTCCTTCTCTACGTACTATACGGAGTGACCAAGTATAATAATATCTTGGCTGTCCGAGCAGCCCTTCGCGGTGGATCGCGTCGACTCCCAGTCGTTCGCTGTTGGCAACAACCCCCCCCCCCGAAAAACCCGCGATCGGCGCTTCGATTGCGAATTCCCTGCTCGGCCTCTTGCTCGCTGCCTTCTCTCCGTTCCAAGCAGCCGATTGAATGAAGCGTGGAAACGTGGAGTTGAGTTGGCTTGGCTTTTCTTGAAAAAAAAAAAGAAAGGCGCCTGGAGCTTCTTTCCCTCCGCCAGGTTTTGGAGCTTTGGAAAGGGGATGGGGGTTCGTTTGAGAAAAGAGGAGGCTTTTAAAAAAGAGAAATAAATTAAAAACTCATCTCATTTTTTTAGAGACTCTCCGGCCGGCAGCGGCCAACAGCAGGCAGGCGTCCGAGTAGTCCTCCTACTCTCATCGGGGAGGAGGAGAAAAAGGTACATCCTTAAAGTTGACGACGATGGGAAACGGGGGAGGGGGGGGGAGAGAAAATGTTTTCTAAAAATTAAAAAGTTCTGGGTCGCGGCTGCGTCTCGCCTGCCCTCCTTTGCTGCGGGACGGCTCTGCGGACAGTCTGTTGACGTCCCACATCCAGCAAGGAGGAGAGG